AAATCAAAAAGATCTCATGTGGGCATGCTTAATTCTAGAAAATAAGGAAAATGATAAAAGTTTAATTTCCCTTTTTAATCATGCTCAAATGCAATTAAAATCCATTTAAGCCTCGCCACCATCTCAGAAAACAATTAAAATACGCTTCAAAAATTTACGGGCTTTACCATAATTTACTTACCTTAATTACTCAGGACAGAAGGCCTAATCCAGCACTAGGATCACAAGGCAATCAAGGACCTAATCACAATATTCTCGAGTTAATATCTATAATGAAAATTTCATTCATTTATTTATTTTCATTTCTGCTTTTCTATCCAGACATCAAGCATTAACCGGGATTGGGTATTTATCTATATATTTACAATTATATAATTACCCATATACAATTTTCTCAATTTCATGGACAAGAAATGGGAGAATCGGCCTTGACAAGAAACGGCCAATTCACGGGATTCTCCCCTTTCTTTCTCTCGGACATCACACACAACAGCCAAACCCATTAATTTCCTACACAAATCATCAACCAAAACCCATTTTCAAATGGCCAAGACTCATCCCTATTTCAACAAAATTTTCGGACAACCAAGCTCATTTCATACAACCACTTAAACTCACAAATTAGCACTTAATCAACAAATTTTCAGAGATTAAAGAAGCCAACTTACCAGAAGTGCTCAACAAGCAAAGCTGGAGCTGGCGGGAAAAGGAAGAGCCGGCGGGAAATTGCAGGGGAACTTCACGCAAACTTCTAGCAATTGAAGAAAGGAGAATTAGAGTAAACCCACACACATCAAGGTTGAAAAGAGGAGTTTCTGGGCTGATTTTTACCAGGAAAACCGAACTCACACCCAGCTGTGGCCGACGGCAGGGAAGGAAGAAAGCAGCAGATCCGAGAAAATTTCTGCAAGGGAGAAGATTTCTAAGCCCTAAACTTGTTCTTGAGCAAGAGAGGAACAAAATTTATCAAGTTCTCTTACCACTTTTGCAGGTGGAGGCTTCGGTTATGG